CCCTCCTCACCCCATCACTGCAAAAAGAGACTTCAGCAATTCTGCCCTGGCCACCAGAATGTCCTTACTTTTTTCTGTCTTTTGGGCTCCTTTTCAGGCTGGATGAGGCAGAGAAGAGTGGGAGGGAAGGCAGGGGGCTGGGGCTGGGAGCAGGACTTTAACAAAGAATCACTTCAACAGAGACCACTGAGTAATGGCTTTGCCTGGGCCAAGAATAACATCAACTCAATGTCGCCAATTAGAATCAGGTCAGTTGGGCCTCACCACTGCTCCAGGCCTCCACCCGGACCCCAGCATGAGGTGCTACTCATGCTGATGTCACCAGTAGTCACTGTGGCCTCAGCAAGTCCCCCACTCAGTTCAAAGAGAAGTGTGCTTGCAGTCTTCTCTTACAGAGGCAGGGAGCCAGGAGGAGAGGGAGTGGCAATGGGAGGAGCCTAGATACGTTAGTCTGTAAGAAGCCCCATCCCAGCCCTAACTCATGGCTCGGGCAGAGCCCCTAAGCACGCTGAAGCTCATTTTACATGAGGTAAGATACAGGAAGCACCTGGAACAGTGCTGCGTAAGCCAGAGCTGCTGAAGCAGTGGCCATTACTAACAAAGCAGGGGGGAGGGTTCTGTCCAGTTCCTTATCTCTTGCCCATGCTAAGATGAGAATCCTGGAGCTGCGACTAGTGAGCAGAATGTACCCTGATAAGAAGGATGAGCAAGGAGGTGTTCTGATAACTCACTCATGAGAAGGCCGTGGGACCTGGGGTAAGATAGATAGCAACAAAATTCCCATAAAGATGACCGTTTAAAATTTTGTAAGAGTGATACTAAGTTTTAAACATACAATTTCCCTTCCAACCAATCAAATACACACACACACACACACACACAGTGTCTCATTCCTTCTGGATAGATGTCATTGTATGGTCATCTCTTGGGAGCTTGTAAGAAATGAAAACAACTGAGCCCTCTCCCCAACCTACTTACTTCAGGAATGGGATGAATGGAGGACAATCAGTGTTTTAACCTGCTCTTCTGCTGTCCTCGACTAGGGATGTACAGACTAGGACCTGTAGGCCAAATCTAGCCTGCTGCCGGGTTTTGTAAATAAAGTTTTATCAAACACAGCCACAGTCATTCATGGACATACCACAGCAGAGCTGAGGAGCTACAACAGAGATCCATGGCGAGTGAAGGTTATCTGCAGGAAAGTGTCAATCTTGTGCAAGGTTTTCAAGCTATTGGGTTCAGTCACAAGGGTATAAAAAAGCTCATACTTCCAGTATTCACTTTCTTTGTTTATCATGGATGATACTTTCTCTTATTTCTGTTCCCAAACTTCTGCTAATGGCTTTAAGTAACTTACTTCTTTCACTCTCAGGGACAGGGTCCATTTTTTCCCAGGGGTGAACTTGGCACACAGCAATTTCTAGACTTGTGAGTACAATGGCAGGCAGACACAAAGAGCAATGCTGATTGTACATGGATGGTTAGGTATGCTGGCTCTAAGCTAATACCGAATAAGAACTCATCTCCCTGAGATGAACACAGTAACAGACTGACTATCTAAGTGCTCTGACTGGAGGCAGAAAAGGATGAAGGACTTTCTTTGCGTGTAATGGAAGAAAAGCCACCCAAACATCGATTAAAAGACCACCATGTGAAAGGTGCTATTTATAGAAAGAATTACTACACTATACTGAATGATAAGGTACCCTAGTGTAAGGTAAATACAAAGACCCCTTAACATACTAGTCTCCAAACATCTTGCCTATGGATGCATGCTTGGCAAACCTAAGTTTAATTCTACACAGGAATCTCAAAAAGGCAGTTAGCCAAATTGCTAGTACCTATACTTCAGGAAAATGGCTAAAAAGCACAGGGTGTTCATTAGATAAATACCATCTTCACCCAGAGAATTAACATGAGGGAAGACATACAGGCCATACTGAGAAGGCAACTTGTGCTTCAATCGATAGTTTGCTAGTGACTAACACAGCTAAGCTAAAAACAAAGGCCTGAAATCTATCAGGACTTTGCTTCTGCCATGGAGTGACTAACTCTGAATGTTTTCTGAATAAAGTGCTCCAAATCACTAATCAGTGTTCAAGTCATAATACCTAAGACCTCATTGGCTATCTGGCTACAAATCTAAGCTGGTAGCACAAGTCATAATACCTAAGACCTCATTGGCTGTCTGGCTACAGATCTAAGCTGGTAGCACAAGTCATAATACCTAAGACCTCATTGGCTGTGTGGCTACAGATCTAAACTGTTAGCACTTAGTCGCTCTTGTTCCCCACAGGCCTGGAACTTTACCCTTACTCACTTTTACCTCAATCAGCTGTAGTTTAGAAGAGCCAGGGACAGAAACAAAATGATGTATATACATACATAAAACCAAGATGAATGATTGTCTATTCCCTCTCCAGGAGACACAAGATTACTCCCTTCTTGGGAGCTCTGCCTCCTCTCTAAGATGGATATTCTGACAGATTTGAAAAAACATATTTTCCATATACTTCATAATTCAGTGAAACTAAACTAGGATAATCCTCAGTGAAAAAAAAAACCACTCACACACACACACAAAAAAACACAACCCATACAAGAAAAGCAGTACCCTGAGTTTTCAAAGGAATGCATGCTGCTGGAAGCCAGTCAAAAGCATGAGGAGGACTCACAAAGAAGCAGTTTTTAAAAGTGAAAATCAGCAAAAACAGTCACTCCTTCCCCCCAACTTCAATGTGCTGTGAACAGCACCATTCTAGTGTGTTAACATGTGGTTTGAAAGGAACCCATGGGCCTGGGAGATGGCCCAGTTGGTAAAGGCAACTGTTGCCAAATCTGGATCTAACAAAGTGGAAGGAGCAAACTAATTCTCAAAGGCTGTCTTCTGACCTATACAGGAACAATGAGGTGCACACTCCTCACACTCCCCTCTCTCTCTCTCTCTCTCTCTCTCTCTCTCTCTCTCTCTCTCTCTCTCTCTCTCTCTCTCTCTCTCTCTCTCTCTCTTTCTCTCCATTAAAAAATTGCCTGTAATTTTGATTAAAAAACAAAAACAAACCAAAAAAGAGACCAATGGGGCCAGGAGAGATGACTCAGTGAGTAAAAGTACCTGCCCCAGAGTCTGTATGGTAGAATGGATTCCCACAGGTTGATCTCCATATGTATAATGTGCCACACTCATGGGTGCAGGTGGGTGCGCACACACACACACACACACACACACACACACACACACAAATACAAAGAAAAAAATTAAAAGAAAGCAATGGTCTAAATTCAAATGATCTACTATTATACTCATACATGTCTTGTCCTGGTCAGCACCTGGTTATGTTGGCACTGCTGGATAATTAAAACAATAGAAGTTTAGAACTGTAAATAGCTTTAAGAAATTTATACAGATTGATAAAAGAAAGTCTAAGACACATATTTCAATCTGTAACTGTGAAAAGGTACACTGCATTCCTTGATTCTACTGTCTCCAAATTCTCATTTTCTCTCTTTTGGTTTTTACATCCTAGAACTCACTCTGTAGTCCAGGCTGGCCTTTAACTCACAGAGATCTACCTGCCTCTGCCTTGCGAGTGCTGGAATTAAAGGTGTGTACCACCACTGCTGGGAGCTTTGTTCCAAAATTCTGTAAGTGGGGAAACTTGTATGTGAGAGAGAACAATAGGCAGTCAACTCGAGGGGCCAGTTAAAAGGTCTAAGTTTTCTCCAGGAAAGATGGTCCAAAGGACTATTCACAAATGCCTGTAGGCATAGTTTCTCAATTCCGATGCATAACTGACAAAAACACTACTGTAGGTAAATACAATCAGATTGTGACCAATGTAGGGAAAGTATGAGGCGTACATTTAGGTGGAGGCAGTAGGGCACTTGCTGTGGGTTAGTATGTCCTGGCTCTGGCTCCTTACTGCCACCTTTGCTTTCTGGTTGTCATGAGGTGAACAGCTTCGCTCTGCCAAGCCCTTTCTCCATGCTGCCTCTGTCTTGCTATGGGCCTAAAAGCAATGGAGTCAGCTATGGACTACAACCTTGAAGCTGTGAGCCACACCCAGTCTTCCCTCCCCTGAAGTGACATTCTCAGATACTGTTCACAAAGACAGAAAAACCGACTACTGTAGGAATTGATAAGTAAACATCAAGATAACAATGGCTTTCCTCACAGAATAAAGTGGTTGAAACCCCATTTTCATCTTTATGCACAAACTGACACATACTATATATATTATGTAGTTATGAAAAGAAGCAAAGGGAGGAAAACCAGGAAATACTGCTTTCCTTCCACAATGAAATGCCAAAGAGCTCACAGAAGTAGTTTTAATTCAATCAAATAACCCTCCTGCAGGACATGGTCACTGGTTCCCAACCATTGTACAGAATCAAAAAGAAAAGCAAACTCTCTTGACATTTTCCCAGGGTCATCTTTTCTCTGCAACTGGGACTGCCTCGGTGCAATATAGTTCCTCACACATATCCCCAGGAACTGATGGTAAGTAGGGACAGTGTTACAGCCCCACTATTTAAAACAGTGCCCAGTACACAGCAGACATTCAACAAATACTTACTAAATGAGCAGCTGCCATCTCCAGAAATCCAACAACCTAACTTATGGCCATTTTTCAGACCATGAAGGACTCTTAGGTACTCATCATACTAAGTCTATGGAGGACAGAAATTGGTACATTTACAAATAAAGATGCTCAAGATGCAGCTTTAGGGAAATGGGAATTGGATTGTGAGGCTGCTAACATCATTCAACAGAAAACGTAAACATGGTAAAAAAAAAAAGGGTTTTACAAAATCAAATAAAAGCATGTCTAAGACAGCTCAGCAGCACCTTCCAAAGGAGCCAATGCTACAGCCTGAGAGTAGCCCTGAGACAACCCAGGGCAGGTGAGTGAGTGTTTAGGAATCGAGTCATTCACCACACATTCATCCCCTTAACTGTCTTGCCAACAGAAGGAAGACACTATCTTACTATTTTCAGTTACCTGGTGCCGGGCTCGACTCTGGTCCAGAAGCTGCCGGGACTGAAGTTTCTGTTGTTCAAGTTGCTGGAGGGCGAAGTGGAGTTGGTAACTGCCCGCCGTGGGGTGATACCTGTGCTGGGGAACCACTCCCGTAGCCTTGCTGTATGCGTTGTTCTCGACCTCGCCCTCCCAGGCAAAGCCACCTGTCTGGAGGCTCCTGAAGAGAAAAAGAATACATATTTTTTGGTATGGGTATGTGAACAATCCAAAGGAAAGAGATATGTATCTACAATTTTTCCTTTACAGAATACCAGCTAGAATTATAAAGCAGCTATATAAGTTATCTGACTTCACTAAATCACACCTTGGTGTATTTTGGTCACTGCTTTTATTTCCCAACTTCTCTTATAAAGATATTTCCAGATATTCAGTTAAAAGTGTGTCTGTGAAATGTGTCCATGTGTGAAATATTTTGTGTTCCTATAGTCTCACCTTCTCATAAGGATAAGCCACGTCCCTTGCGCAGGAATGGGGTGCTCAGGTTGGCTTCCACAGAGACTGCTCAGTTCCATGCTATCAGCTAATCTTCTAGGCCAACAGGTCCAAAAGACTCAGAGATTAATTCACTGGCTCTGAGAACAACATCTGATTTCCAGCAATTTCTCTGGAAATACTTTAATGTGTATTTCCATAACCTGTGGGTCATGACCCCTTGGAGGTTCAATGACCCACCCTTTCACAGGGATCATCCAAGACCATTGTATATATCAGATAGTGATATTACTACTCATAACAGTAGCACAATTACAAATTACGTTACAAATTAGCAATGAAAATAATTTATGGTTGGGGATCACCACAGCATGAGGAACTGTATTAAAGGGTCACAGTGTTAGGAAGGTTAGGAACCACAACCATATACATGTATGTACATACATATAATAAAGGGCTTCTGAACATATGGAGAAATGTGGTGACAACTGATGAGAAAGTCACTGGTAGAAAATATGTAAATACATTAATCACATGTTGGCTTGATTCACAAGGCAGAAGACTGTGTGAACATAAGATGGAATTATACAGTTAGGAAAGGAAACAGAACCTTTTGTGTGTGGGGCAGGGTGTGAGTATGTGTTTGTGTGTCTGTGTGTGTATGCATGCATAGAGGCATGTATACCCGCATTCCTATGTGTGTGGAGGCCAGAGGGCAACACTGAGTGCAATCTTCAGGTACTTTCCAGCTTAGTTTGAGACAGGATCTCTCACTGATGCCAAGTCTGCTAGATTGAAGGCTAGTAAGCCCCTGGGCTATACCTGCCCCATGCAGGGTTGATGCGTGCGCAGTTGTACTTGGCTTCTTATGTGGGGTGAGGATCCGAATACAGGACCTCATACTTATACAGGAGCAAATCTACAGGATGAGCCATTTCCCAGCTCCTGGAGACTCTCTTATCTTTTTTCTCATCAGTGAGAGAAGACGAGCTGACTGATGACAACATGTAGGAAGCTAAAAGGCATTGACTGAGTGTGCAGTGAGCAGAAGGAGGGGTGATGGAGAAAGGCATTCAGGTTTATTTTATTTTATTCAAGGTCTTCCAGGCCACCCTTAAATTTGCAAACCTCCAGCCTGCAACCCCTAAGTGCTGGGAATATCAGCACCATGCCAGCCAGGTGTCTGGGAGAATAGTTAAGGCAGGAATGCCTCTCCTTCAAATGAAGACAAAGGCAGGGGACAGGGCTGACTTATCTTGAGATTTTCATGTCAATTAAGCTAGGTATTTCTTTTAAAAGAAGACATAATGTTTGGTGGGTACAGAGATAGGGATGGATCTGGGAGGAATTCGGTGGAGGGGTGAATATGATCAAACACAGTGTATGACTCAATGAATGTAAAGAATTAATGAAAGCATTATCTTACAAATCCCCAAGGGAAACTATTATTAGTCACTGAGCTGCAGGTCAGAGAATTCTGCTTCCATTTTTGGCTTAACGGTTATAGATGTTTCTAGCCATAGGGAACAATCTAGTCAGTAAGTACACAATATGAAAGTAGAGTAATATGCACTTCATACCAGAATCAAGCCCACTGGGTAGCTTGAGTGACTTCATTTGCTAGTAACTATTTTAACAACAAACCTTTGCACAAGGCATTCATTTTAATGCCTTCTTGCTGTGTACCAGAGAGCAGTCTTCCAGCAGGCCTTTTATTTGGGGAGATGCCCTTGAGGTTCTCAGGGGTGTCAGCAAGAGCACATGGATGCAGAGGGCAGGGGCAGTGAGCAAGGAGTATTCTCCCAACTCCAAATACACTGAAGAGACTGGAACACTATAAACTGTTATAGTGAAATATGTTTTTAATCTCATCAGTAATGTAAGCTCAGCCTGCAAATCGCCAAAGGAAGTCTCTCAAGCCAGTGGAGGCTTTTAGCAAAGAGGCAGGAATTTTTATAGCTCAGCACTGGGTGGGGGTGGGGATATTTAGCTGTGTAATATAATAAGTGCCATGAGAACCTTGTTGCTTTGAATTTCAGCGGGGTTAGTTGGAGCACATTAGCTCATACTCAAAGCACTAGTCTTCGGAGTTTCTAGCATGCGAGTGCTAAAATGACGGACAGGAGGCTGTGTATGCTGCAGCAGGCTGCCCCTGATCTCTGGCACCCAAGTTCATACAGCCCTTCTTTTTACAGCACCTAATGGCTCCTATATCCATCTGAAAGTCTACCCCATGTTCACAAACCTGTGTTCATTCTGTTTCACTAATAATATGCTTCCTACCCTCACCAAAATTTTGAGGTCAGTGGTTCTCATTAAAATTCTGTGAGATTCCCTGATCCAATACGCTTGGGGTGTGTATAGGATTTGGGGTTCTTCCTTCCTTTTTCTTTCTTTTTTCAGGGGGTGGAGTGTTGGTTGCAAATTTTTAAATATTTATATAGTATGTGTGTATATATGTATGTATATGTATATAGTTAGGTAGATAGTTGGAACATGTAATTCATTTATGTAGTCCCAGCTACTGGGAGGCTGAGGGGGAAGAGCTTACGCTGGGAGTTTGGGGTTAGCCTGGGCCATACTGCAAGACTCTACTATAATAAGCTTCTTTTTTAAGTTACAAGTAGGCAACAATATGGCATGTTTTTCCATACTACATTCTCTTACTAGTTTATCCACCAAGAACTTCACCTCACGCCCATAACAGTGCCACCCCCGGACACTCTGTTCCCACTGTAACTGCTCTTCCCACACCTACTCCATCCCTGACTGCCCTCTGCTTTTCTCTGTTTATGTAGGAGGAAACTGCAAGGTCCACAGCAACATTGCTCAGCACAAAGGGCTGCACCCTCCACGAGGGCACTGAGGCTTCTGGAGCAGGCTATGATGTCTGTCCCAAGAGTAAGGGGAGGAGGCAGTGACAGCCTGCGCCTGGGATTCTGCTACCCATTTCCTCTGCCTACCTCACTCAGTCCCTGTGCAGGGATGCCCTGCCCCTCATCACACTGTGGGCATCTCTCTGGCTGGGCTTTCAGTCGCCTCTGTGATGTGTGGGAATTGGGGATAAAATACCATTTAATAAGTGCAGGTCACTAGTATTAAATGTTCAGGAATTTAAGGAATAGTTCTGTATTAGAAAAATGTGTGGTCCTAATGACAGACATGGTGGTGCTTCCTGGACAGGGTACATGTTGAAGGACAGTAGACATTGTTTTTTTCTTCAACTACAAGCACACGTCTTCACACACACCCAATGCAGGAAGCCCTCCAGATGGAAAAGGCCTCCCAGGAGTGGACAAAAGAGTGCTGACCACAGCTGGGCGGCGGTGGTGCACGCCTTTAATCCCAGCACTCGGGAGGCAGAGGCAGGTGGATCTCTGTGAGTTCGAGGCCAGGCTGGTCCGACAGTCTCCAAAACAATACAGAGAAACCCTGTCTCGTAAAACCAAAAAAAAAAAAAAAAAAAGAAAAGAAAAAGAAAAAAACAAAACAAAACAAACAAAAAAAAGAGTGCTGACTACAGGAAGCTATGCGATTAGGAGCATTGTCAGGAGGGCATATCCCTAGCTCTAGTGGTGCTTCCAATGACAAAATGAAAGCACTTTTGTATGGAATGAATACTTTGTATCCCATTAAAAACAGTTCTAAGGCCAGCTAGAGTCTGGTCACATTCAGATCAAATGTAAGGTTGAGGAAGGCATGAGCAGGGAAGGATCCTTGCACCAAGGCCCTTAGTACACCTGACTTCTCCACAACTTTATTATTCTTAAATTTTCTCTTCTGCAAATGGAGACTGAACAGTCCCTATTTTCACAGGGTTGTTATAGGAACTCGAGGGAATGCAAGTGGAGGCCTGACAAATAAAAAGAAAATATAGTCCCACTATTAATGTTCCTATCATACTATTCTTTCCTCAACCCGTCACCTTTCTATGCTGCCAGAGTCCCAGACTTCTTTGGTGTGGGAACAGTAGGATGAAGAAACATAAAGGGAGCCATTCGCCAGCAGGAAACTCACTGCTGCAATCAGCACAGTGCAGTCATTGTGTGACAGCATCAGACATGATGTCAAAGGGCTGCGAGTGCTGAAAATAAATAGCCAACCTTGGCCATTCTTTCACTCACTACACAAAGAAGGGCCCTTAAACCTAGAAGCTGGTGCCATAAAAGCTCTAGATGAAAACGCATCAAAATGTCTTTGAAACCCTTGTGGGGCAAGCAAGGACTTCTTGGAATGAGAAACTGAACTTTAATAAAATCAAACAAGATAGCATTAGTGATCTGGCATGGTGGATGCATCTGTAATCCTGGCACTTGGGAGGAGGAGTCCCCAAACAGCCTCAGCTACACAGTGAGTGAGAACCTAGCCTATCCCACAAAAGACCCTGTCTCAGAAAATAAAACCAAGCAAAGGACACCACTAAGAAATGAATAGGCCATACTCCAGGGAAAAGTATTTGCAGTACATATATGTTGCCAGCAAATTTGTGTTAGTGGCCACACCCCTTTAGGCCTGGCTTCAGGTGTAGACATGACCAGAAGTTAGAGAAGCACGGATTGGGCTCTCTCTCTTGATTGGCAGATCACATCCAGAAAGAAAGAGTAATAAAAAGCCATGTAAAGATGGAAAATACACAGTGTCGATACTGTATGTTATTGTGTTGTCTTTGTATTATTTAATTGCTGAGGAAGGTGTAACAACTGTTAGAAGATATTTGATTATAAA